ATCCATTCCTGTATAGCACCTGTTATACCAAAGCTCGAGAGCTTTTGCATAAGACCTAAGTGTGAAACCTTATCAAACGCTTTGCTAAAATCTATAAATATCATGTCGACAGACTGGCCGTTGTCTAGTGCAGCTGTCCAATCCTCTCTCGCAATGAGTAAGTTAGTCAAGCATGAATGCTTGTTACGAAACCCATGTTGCTCGGGAGTTAACAGATTGTACGAATCAATGTGACTCAGTAGCTTAGCCCGAATTAATTTTTCAAGTAACTTAACTACTATACTGGTCAGGCTAACAGGCCGGTAGTTAGATACTATCCGTCTCTGACCATCCTTAAATATAGGACTAACTATGGCGTCTTTCCAGTCTCTAGGTAGTTGAGCCTGTGAAAGGGACATGTTGAAGAGCATCGTGAGCGGTCTTGAGATAATGTCCGCAAGCGACGACAGCAAACGTGGGTGTAACCCATCGGGGCCCGGTATCTTACAAGGTTTTAGGTTAGTTATCAAAGGAAGAACTATATCCTCTGTCACGTGTAAAGGTCCTATGGCTGGTATCTCATTGTCAACGGGACAAGTAGTTGTAACACTACACGTAGAGTAGACTTCACTGAAATAGTTAGCAAATAACTCCGCTTTCGCCAGATCAGATTCAGCCAATAAAGCTGAATTTTCGCTTAACAGTAATGAGGGGATACCATCACTACGTTTCGTCCGCCTTTTAACGTACGAAAACAGTCGCTTCGGACAGGTACGGCTATCGTATGCCAACTGTCGTTCGTAAGCCGTGCGGGATTTAGCTATGGTCTTTTTACATATATTCCGGATTTTTTTATGTTCGCACTTAAATGATGCCTGACCTGTTGACAAGAATAAGTCCCAGAAGTGTTTCCTACGCTTCAACAGCTTCCGGGTTTCCTTATTAATCCATGGAGGGCAATACGATAACTTACGTGCTGACCATGGGATAAACGGTTGAGTTACGGATTCGAACGTAGACTTAAACCTATTCCATGCATCATCAATCGATCCATCAGCATCGACCGACCAGTCAATTGAGATAGCATAGTCCCTGATTGCCGGAATATTAGCTCTCCAGATATTAGGACGGGGTGGAGCTGATGCAAATTCTATACCATGTATCCGGAACTTAAAGGAAAGTACGACATGGTCACTATTCACCAGTGAGGGAAGTTGTTGAATGTCGACGATATCTTCACAGTGGTGTGTGAGGACAAGGTCTATCAATGACGGATTATGTTCCAAGTCTATATGCGTCGGCTTAACGATACATTGTACAAGTGCACATTGAATAATTGATGACAGAAGGACGCTATCGAAACCCCCACCTGAAGCTGTGAGCTCTATCCAGTTTATATGGGGTGCATTGAAGTCTCCAACGATGAGACAACATTCTGCTTTACTCCAAGAACAGACGTGTCTTAGGATAAAGTCGTCAGCAAGACAACACGGACTACGATATATTCCTCCTATCGTCACTAACCCGTTTCTAGACCTAATTGTACAACATACTACCTCACACGTACCACTTACATGCGCCTCCGATATGATCGAGTTAATGCGGAAGTGATCCCTAATATATAATATTATGCCTCCTCCCTTGCGACTTCTAACTCTATCACTTCTGACACAGATGTAGCCTGAAATGACTGGAGAACAGTCTATATCTACAGTGAGCCAAGTTTCGGTGATAACAATTATATCCGGATTTAAGTCGTCTACCATCAAACTTAGTTCAGACATCTTATTCCGAAGACTACGAGCATTCGTATAACACACATTTAAGGTGTTTTTGGAGACATGCGTTCTACCCACACAGGTCTCGGAAGCATTGGCTTCCAAGACCTGACTACCCGAAAACCCTTAATCGTAAGGTTCGCTTCACCGTTTAGCCTTCGAGTTTTTAACTCTGTTAGGGCATTCTTCCACTTGATCCGATCCTCAAGTGGGCCAGTCAGGTCGAATACGAATGTTTGAGTCACGAGTTTTGCGTGAGTTATGTAGTAATACGTCCCGTTCCTCAAAATTACCGAGTACTAATTTGAGGATCCTTCTCTGTTGGGTTTCGCCTCCAACATACTTACCAAGTCTGATGACTTTCGAGATATGTACCCCTGGGACCTCCTCTGGCAGTATATTTCTGATGAGAGATCCCACTAACTGCAGGTCGTGGGCATGTTTTTTAGCGGGATCAGTGTCTTTCGATTCTGCCAAGTTCCAGATGATTACACTAGGCACCTGTTTAACTGCCTTAAACGTCGTGTTCACGGCCTTTGACCGTGATGTCAGATCCTGCCGGTTAGCTACCGGCTTCTTGCTATTAGCTTTCTTTATGACAGTGTCATGTGGGTCAGGCGAGTTACTCCCAACAACATTTGGTGAAGTTAGACTATTTCCATCCACAACAGTATTATTATTTCCTTACATTTGGACTTGAGCGGAGTTGCCTGATGCTCAGGACGTGAGTCTAACGATGACTTAGCGACTATACGCGCGCTTTCTTTGGGTGTTTTTCCGTCTCTTTTGCGTTTCCGCGTAATCCATTTGCCAAATTCTCAGCATCCAGATTGGAACTATTCTGGACGATAGTGGTTCTAGCCGGGTCCTCAGTCGCTGCTAAAGCGACTGGTCCCTCAGTACTTAATGGCATGGCTTTCATTGGTTGTATCGGAGTACAAATTTTTGCTTCATGTTGCGAAATTGGGTGTCTGGTACCTGCCATGGCAGCATTTACGACACTGATACAATCTTCATTATCAGTATCTATGATGCCGGCACGGCCTACTTCGACCTTTTTAGCTAACGCTAGAAGGCTGATGGCTTCCTGAATGAGTAATGTCTTACTTGAGCAACAAAACATACAGAGCCAATGAGAATTTGGTTTCGAGCACCTTTTATAGGCAGCAGGGCTTAAGCGGGTGCACATTTTATGAAACCACTTCTTACAATCGTCACATTGCATCCCTTCTTCCACGGGGAATAAGCAATATGGCTGTCCACACTTGTGTACAGAGCCGACCATCTTAGAATAAAACAAAATGATAGGCAAGGTAGATATGTAAGATAAATCACAACCTTATCAAATAAACAAGCCTCAGTCGACCAAGAATGCTTTGATGCAGTAAATACACAAAAGCAGAATCAAAACACACAAATACAATGTCACGTTAACTGAAATAAATTCAATTAAAGTGTAAACGGTAGTTTTGATACGTAATTTACGATCAAAACAGTGAATTAAACTCAACGTGAAACAATACCACTGTCCTTTTAAATAGCGCGCGTAAAGATTCGCTCTTAATAAGATCGTTACCATCTGTTCGTGAGTTAGAACTCATTATTAAGTTAGACATAGAGTCATCCAGCAACATGTGTGGAATACGTTCACTCCCACTATTATCTGGTGCAATAGGAGTTGCAGGGCATGGGGTATAGATAAGACCAGAGTTGTTAATATCTGAAGAAATAGGACTTTTTCGAGCACGTTTTTGTGTCAGTCGAACCATTTTTCTTCAAGGGTTAAATGAATGTTATTATTGATTTATAAACTAGGGCTTAACGATATAAAAGCACTTTATAATAAATACCGTGTCAGCGTAACGCAAACTTCAAACGTACCGCAAGCGTTAATTAGTAATTAATATAGTTCGTTATTCACTGGAATTTCTTTGTTGATTCATTCTTCTCAACGTTTTCAGTGAATGTGTATAATGTATACGTCTGTAGTGAACAGCTTTACGGGATTGTCAGTGATTGTGTTTATCTTTGATAATTTGGTTTTCATTTGTTTCATTAAAGTATGTTGCGCCAAACTGGTTGCTGAAGTATCACAGTTATTTTTCAATTTCATCCCACTGCTACGCTTTTCCCAGCTTCACAGTTTGTCAAATCTATGATCCAAAAATAAATTTCCTGACAAATATTATAGTTGTACACCATTGAACAAGGAACTAATCATTTATATTTCCAACTTACATCAACTGATGCTTTGTCTCTATCAGTATGCCACGACATCAAAGAATATCAAACTCATTGCCTTCATCGTTTAGCTCCACCTTATAACTATTCGATAGTTTTGAGTTATTTTGTTGTTTATCTGATTTGGAGATTCTGAGTTTGGTCCTTGAAGAACTGATTCTCGTACATTGCTTCGGAATCTTAAATCAGATAAAGTATCAGTTAACTGTTTGGTTATTTTCCATTATTCAATAGGTGATTTTATTTTTTCATAACAACTAACTTGATAAGAATCTGTATGATGGTAAAAAAAAGGCTTATTTTGTCAAATAAATCACAATATTGAATAAGAATGTAGACTGAAAAGTAGTATAACGTTTATGCATCCACATTATCCTATCTTAATTTTATGTTGAAAGTAATCATTATAAAGTATAAGTAGAAGGAAAACAAGTCACCTTACGTATTGAAGAATATTGTATAGTTGAAATCATGATTCAACTTCGTATATTGGTTGAAGTTAGACATTAACACCTTTGGATGCCGGCTCAGTGGTCTAGTGGTTACGCACTCGCGTACGAAACTAATAGGTTCTGGGTTAGAATACCGCAAGGCGGATCGCTAACCTCATGCCCAAGCCCCCTCCTTTACCCAGGCTTGAGACCGGCAGTAACTCTAGAAGAGCTGCAGGCGGAGTTAATACCTAATGATGGTTACTGTTTTTCTTTCAAGTAGTTAGGGTGTAATTTTGTTGGGAGAAAAACCTAATCTGTTTGCTCATCAGTCGTCAATTCTTCTGTTATAGAAACATTGGAGAAACATAAGGGTGAGGTATGAGTGAACTTTGTGCTAGTTATCCGATCCCTATGATTCATCATCGATTAGTTACATGATTCACATTCATTCGATCAGTTGATAGATCATTTCACAAAACTTGTATAATTTTTGATCCCTTTGCTATAGAATTCATTATATTTATAAATCTGATACTTGATTATGTTTTTTCTCTTTTGATTTTACTAGAGAGAAACATATTCACCATGTATTACACGTAAAGAAAGTGTCAATCATTTTCTTTTATTGGATCAATGTCACTATGAGAATAAAACACATGTAGAATTATGTGGATTATCCAACTGTCTAATTAATCATTTGTCAAGTGACTTGAATAAATAAACAAGAGACTTTCAATTCTCATCCACAGTTTGCTGTTTAAATTTTCACTATTTATTCGACGCAAACGGTAATTTGATTCTCTGTAAACGCGATTAATATAATTGATAGATGTCGTAAATGGATCATATACACTGAACTGAATTAAACAAATGCTGAAAATCAGGAATTCCTGAGAAACTATTTCATCGTAATATTTGAGATGTCAGAAGTATGTTTACGTAGTTGTGAATAATGAGGTATTTTCCACGAAATTGTTTATAGGATTTCGACTGTCTCATTTAAAGATGAATCTCCATGATTTTTGGAACGAAATAACTGACCTCCAGAAAAATAGTTTAGGGAGTTTGTCAAAGATTCTTGTTTCTCCGTTTACACCAATTTCTATTTTTATTTTTATTTGATTCAAAATTTACGACTGAACACAAGAGTTGATGTTGTGGTTTTATCGGTTCGAGAGAAAAAGTGACTGTTTCTTCATGCGGTAATTTGTTTCAAGAACCTGTTACACTACAATTCTCATCTATACTGAGAACAAGACCTAATTCCTTATCAATTAATTTGTTTTCCATAAAATGAATTGAATTCACGTAGGGTTATTTCTCGTGGAGATTATAAGGAAACTACGAATAATTGGGAAGGTGAAAGGACATCGTTCTCCTGGGAATATATATAGGAATTGAGTATATTCCTTGCTTTTTATGGGTTGTAATTGAATAATGAACAAACACAGAGTGAACAGCAACTGAAAGCTGATTTGATTTATTCGCAGTATTCTTATTCTTCAATATGAAACTAAATGGTCCACATGTTAAAACAATTTTGTACAGCGTTGGTACAAGTAGTCTTCAATATTCCATCACTAGTAAACACCAATGCAAAAGACATGTTATGTCATTTGATCAGCTCAATGTGAATGTATGTGTTTGTCTGGTCCTATGCTGCCAGATAATATGTAGGCTGTTGATTGAGAAGCATCATTTGATGTATAATTGAAGGATGGTCAGTATAGTTTAGTAAATGACAACATAAAATACGAAGTCATCTATTCCGAAATATGAAAGTGACAATGACCACTGAGCGCTGTAGATTTTTCATAAAACCAAATTAAGTCTTTTGACAGATGTACACATATAGCTTCTTTGAAATTGTTGGAAATTCACTGTCAGATTTATGCGTACGAAAAACAGTTTGTAGAGACTATTTCACTGTCAGGAAGCTTACTGAACTCAATTGCTGAGTAGATTTTGAGAATGTTAGATGTCTAGAAATTACGTTGTGAAATTCTCACTCTTGTAATTTAGTTGCATAAATTCCCATTTCCTATTTTCATGACTAAAACGCCCACTTTTAACTTCAGTTTGTGTTACATATCTGGAAAGACCTTGATTGCAATTGGTTTGTGTTCTCTCATAGTGTACTATGTTGTGACGTTATTCATGGAAATGTTTGCATTGCATATGTACACGTGAGTTGAATGTAGTTTCGTTCGTACCTCGGAACAGCTTGTGGAAGAAGTGTTAACCTGACTAAATCCGGTCTTCTCTCATCAGTGAGCCGGATCGCGGTGCAGTGGGATAGCTCGATTCGTTTCCTTCTTGTGTTGATGTTTGTTTTGTTCACCCGCCCTACATAATATCCTAATCTGTCGAAAATAGTACTGGATGCGGTGTTGATCATTTAATGTGAGCAACACAGTGTTTGAGTCCTAATCTCAAGTTCTACGTTGGTTGAAGGTTTACTTTAATTCTAGTAAGTGAATAATTTGAAGATACTCATAGTGAAGTGATACTTGTTACTTTATATATATACATCTACTCCAGTTTCAGAATTTAGTTCCGTAATGACGAAAGAGATGAGTAGATTGCAGTTAACATTGTGATTTATAGAAATCAGTTAACGTTCTGATAAATGACTGTCATTCAACGGTTATATTCACTATATCCCTCATACTATTCTCATTTTCATTAACCACTAGTCCATTCCTCATTTTGGGTGAACGATATTAAAATTCAAACACCGATTTATAGGCACTTAATTTCACACATTACAATCTTTTACTGCATCAATGTTTTGAACATAAACAAATAGGAGTTGAATAATATTAAAGGTGAATATTGTTAATGAAGGAAGAAATTTGTGAATGGTTATTTTGACAGTTAATTAATTATTACAAGAATATGGGTAAATGAGAAATGAGTTAAGCCCAGTTCATCACTCGCAAATCGTCACCTGCAATTCAAACAGAATCATATGGATGATTAGTAAGATGATAAATCATACATGTGTACATACGAAATGAACGACTGGACTAAAGTAAAACTGTTTAATGGATCTTAACTAACATGTTTGCATTCATTCGATCAAACATGATGTAGATCCGACTGGAGTAATGAATCAGAAAATCACCATGTGGTTGAGTATCTACTGGAATCGTAAAGTTTTATTGAAATCTACACTTCACTAGACTACATCTGAAACATCCATTTCAATTGATATTTCAATTGAACATAAATTGTGCATCATTGAATCTAATGAACCGTCCTGCAATAGTTCGTTACGTTATTTTGTCCACTTCCATTATCCAAACACACAATATTTCGTCTTCATACATCACTTCACCGTTAAATAGTATTCCACATAATATTGTCAGTAAATTCGATTACTTACTTATCACTTTTGAAACTTTCGATAGATATAAGTACTTAACTGAAATTTGAGAAAATGAAATAAATCACCAAATGATTGAATGTTCTATTTCATCATTGATGAGAAGATTAAGAAAATAAATTGGTGGTTATTTTGTGTTTATGTCACTATGATAATTAGAAGTATTTGAATTTTAGTATGAACTAGTAATCCCAGGAATAACGCAACGTAATCAAGAAGTATTAGATAAGCCCGAACGAATGTATTGTATTTGGAATTCAAAATTACAACAGTCATCAATACGAAGAAGTCATTGATTTATTTAAACACCACAACCGCCACAACTCGAATTGGAGTGTAAGTGTCTGTAATCAATTGTTCGTCTTCTTCTTAAGTTCATCTTACATCGGTCCAAAAGTGTATTGGATGTAGACTCTTATTTATCTGGAATGCACTCATTAGTATTAGAATTAACAACGGAAATTGGAACAGACTAACCTGGGTTCTGGAATTGTATACAATCAGCACTCCGGCTTTGTAGTGAAACCATTGATATTTAGAATTTGCATCATGGACTTTCCAACAATATCCTCCCCCACGAAATAATGCTGGGTCCTTACTTCGCAATGTTTTAGCCAACATGACGTTCCCAATTTGCATTATCTTCTCAAATCTTACGCATCGACTACTGTATGTGAGTATTTGGGGATAAACACTGATATATAATTTTAGGTATTCCATCATGTGACTTTGACTTGAATAAAAATCATGATACATATTCTTTTTGTTGTTCATTGATTTATTTAAGCACCACATACCCACTTATTCTCCGCTCAGTCAAATGCATACGTTATTGACTACCTCTATGAGTTAAACAATAAGGAATGACGATGCCACATCCAAGGATAATATAATTTGCAACCTCGTATTTTCGTTTTCGATGCTCATGAAGGGATGAAAAATTTTCCCCTGCATGTCCATTGACTGATGACACACCTCCTGGTTCGAACCATAAACAGTTGCGTTTGTCTAGTTATCTTTTTTAGTTCAGATAGATTGTAGGATTTCATAGATCGTAGTTTTTCACTGCCAGATGGTAGATAAACCAATATTGTTTCAGTCTTTAAGCTGTACGAAATAACACAGGATAATTTAAGCTTAAAGTCAGTTCTAGTGAAGAGGTGACTGGGAAAATCTTGTTTATAAGTTGTAAAACATCTTGTACACTATACTTCAACCAACTATATATTAATTCATCCATTATGCAGAGTTCAAAAAATATTCCACTCAGTAAAATTACGACTTTTTACCGAGAATCCCCTGGAGACACCAATAGTAAAAGATGATTTATTAAAAGTGGTTATCAATTTAAACATTATGGATTAAATTACATAGGATTATGTTCTGGGAATTCACATTTTTATCCATGTGAATAAGTCACAGATCGATTGGGAAAATTTAGCAGCTAACACCACAAACAATACTCAATTGTGAAGTAATCCAATATGGCTGGTGTACAGAGCTGTTCGCCTTTGAGCTTTTCGACCTTTCATAACCTTCCTATGTCTTCTAAAAGGCAACCTCACAGTAAATGGATGATTATCCGTGGAGAACATCTAAACTCCAGTACACGGCACTGTAATCAGAAGTGCAAATCTACTTCCGAACCCCAAGTTTGTTTATTTTGGTCTCCCCGTTGTCTATCCAACCTGACTATTATGATATAACTTCATGAAATAGCCTCTCTAACTAATGTAGTATTGACCGCATCTTTATAAAAGACAAGCCCGACCTATGAGTCATAGTAACAACTGTAAAACAATAAATTGAACTGAGTTTGAGAATAAAAACAAATGAAGTGGAACAAAGCACAAAGATTTATTTACAAGTAGTGGATTTAAACAGAACACTAGAAATAACAAAAACAAAGATAAAATTAAGTTTCTGCCAGTGTTTAACAAATGGCATTCATTATACTGAGAAAATATAGCTAGATACTAATACCAATAAATATATATATGGATTGAAGCTGTTACATTCTTGTTACACTTGAGTACTCGGAAGTTAAACAGAACAGTTAAAAAAAAAGAATATACGTAAAATATAATAAATAAATTGCTACATTTAATTTACAAAAACTGTTTTGTAAGGAAGTTTAAAATAAGAAAAGATGACTAATTTTCTGTTGTATAAGATTAGAATATCCCACAATCCTTGAGATTGTTTTTAATGATTACATCAGTTACAGCATCAAACACAAATTGTATATTACTTGTATCTGTTGCGCATGTGAAATGGGAATAGATATCTTTAGGTCCACTACGAGTGTTTGAATTTTCAAAACATGATCGAATATATTCTGAAGCTTCTTCATAGTTATTCCCACCTAATCAGAAGTTTAAGAAGGTAAATGGAAATTATAAAAGTAGACTAATCAAAAAAAGGTGCAAAACATTCTTTAATATACGGAAAACTAATTCATCTATGATAAAACTTAAAAGCATTTTTTGAGATGATAAATTTGTGTGATAACAAGAGTTTATGAGAAAGTTTCCACAGACATAATATACCAGAAAGTATCATGCCATAATTGGTTAGCATTTACAGTTAATACATCTCTAACATTTTATCTTTTCGACCAAACAATAAGATAAAATGAGATATGAAGCGTACTACAGCTAGATTTCGCAACAGGTGTCACGTATGCCTAACCACTGCCTACCTCGGCGCGCAATGTTTGGTAATGAAGTAGGTTGAGAGCTAGAGGCAGTCAAATCAAGAAATGGCGACAGTCTATGAAATCACTGACTGTTGGTTTAAGTCATGTTGATAGACGTAGACTAACTAGTTGGGGTCCACTTGATAAGCGCAATTAGGGGTTGGGGACTTTGAATGACATGGCTTGGAATTATTCACAATGGTCCAGATACATTCAATATTTTCTTATCTCGATCTAGAATACAATATCTCTTCATACATTAGTCTACCTTTTTGAATTATATCCCTAATGTTTAATATTTCTTATTATATTGAACTCTTTTAGTGTTTATCTAGTCTTCCTTTTGTCGTGCTGATGTGATACGACAACATGAACCGACCAGCATTTGTTTCAGGCTCTACGTTGATTGAATTGATTGTCTGACCTCAAGTCAAAACGTAATCAGAGAAAATCAAGATCAAATATATGAAATGGATTTTCAACGCAAATAAACGACCACAAAGAGCTAAGTAAAGTGCATGTCGTAGGTATATGTTCGATCAATTATAGTGATGATTTGGTCGTTTAACAACTTAATCATAATGACCTCTTTTTGGATAAATAATAAACGAATGTCTTGAGAGCTGAGATCCGAAGCTATCCACTAGAATTTTAAGGAATACCAGAAGCTGTAAGAAGTGTATCGAATTTACATAGTACCATCAGTTGCATAGTGATAAACTTAGATGAAATTGTATGAAGGGGCAGTCATAACCAAAATATGGATATAAGGTATAAGGATTAGAGAAACCAGAATTAAACTTTAAAATGAATAAATACACGCAGTTAGAAGCCGAATCAGGAAAGTGAGCAAACTAACAGGAACCATTTTGAAGCAAACCACATAATGTTAAGCAAGTGTTCTTCGATAAGCCGAGAAATTTTTCGATCATACCACATAGTATATGTGGTTAGGAGAAGAAAACTTAAATCTTTGTAAGCTGATGGGTTAACTAGATAGAAATCAATTGCACTCTCCATCGAAAATCAACGAAACAGTAGCTAGCCATATACAACCCATACTTCATCAAATTTAGCCACTATAATTTAAACAAAACTAATTGGCTCATTATTCAACTCATTAATACTTCATTCGAGAACTGTTACATAGGCGAAGACAACGATAGTCAAATAAGTGTTACTAAATCAAGACTAGCATACCTCCTAACTAAGTTCAGAGTTTAATAGGCCTGACTACTAGAATCGTTAAAGTCAAATCGAGTAGTGATAAAACATCGCTTTATATTATTTGTAACAGATTTTCACTTAAACTAGTCAAAAGACTAGACTTTACTAGATTTTCAAAATATGTTTGATAAGGTTTGTTTTAGAGTCTTTTAGAGAAGTGATAGAGAAACTGGATGGAACTAGTGATGAGCAACGAAGGACCTGGAACAAATGTTCATCGGTCTAAGTTTCTATACCAGGAAGTGCATGACCGGTCTTTTCACAGTGAACTTTATAGTTTACTAGGATACGTATATGTATATGTTTAACGATCGGATAGCAATTAAATAAGTAAAAAATTGAAGTCGTTTTCATAAATTTGATGAAAAGTTTACCAACTTTGTATTACTCGTATAGACTCAAGAATAATGTAGTGTCTGAATGCAGAGTAAGCAAATGAATTTGGTAAGTTCGTTAACAGTAGTCTGTATTGCTCATTATCTAAATTGGTGAGATAGTGCAGTGTTATGACCCAACAGGATATCATAACAACATCACTCAGTTTAATTTCCGATACACTCCACCAAAACCATCCACCTAAGATACAAATCCCCACCATCTCACACTCCAAACAAAATCAAACCAATTTATTAGTTAGGGCTAATAAGGAAAATTTAAAAATCTCTTTGATGTTACATCCGATCTTTTGACTTACAGATAGAAAGTATTAACAATTTACACATCTTTAGAAAGACTGGTTTTTACTGTAAATAAATATTTTATATCACTAAATAGCAAAATAAAAACATAACACCTGAGGTAACAGTAGTATTCATCAACAATTAAGCAACATTAGGACACATGTAAGCGAACAATTGTTTTCAATCAGATCGTCAACAGGCTTTACTCTAATATACATCAATATTTATACGAAAATGTTAGTCTTGATTGGTTTAACATTTTTACAATGGAAGTCTTTAAATTAAGCGATATTTAGAAATAATAACCAGGATGACACTTTTTTAAATCACTATATTGTACTACACCTTTAGAAAAATTATGTATAGATTGAGAAACACAGAATAAAGTAAAAGCTAGAAAAATTCAAAACTTACCAGTGTACTCTGGGAAACATATGGTCAACGGTGATTTCATTATTTTATTCTCGAAAATATCTCGCTTGTTTAAAAATAAAACGATACTTGTTTCCGTAAACCACTGGTTATTACATATTGAACTAAACAATGTCATAGATTCCATCATTCTATTCTGAAACAAAAACAAAGCACCAAAACCAATACATAGTTGTGATTATTGGAAGCTAAACCACGGTGGGATGTGCACCAACCAATTATAGAATACAAACAAATTAAACACGATACTCTTATATGTCAGTTGGGGAGAGTCCGCTCTCCCTCTCCAAATGCTCTCACATAGCCACGCGCATATAGCTTTTGCCAGGGAAGTACTATTCACTGCATTCTCGCGTCACGAGTGTTGTTTACGAAGTTGAGAGGACGAAAAGCGAATGTTCGGCGCTTTAACCGGGTTGGTGGACACGGAAAGTCCACCTAAGGGAGTTGAAAAACCCTGATTCCAAACCAATGGTGCACGTGGACTCTAGTATCCTGAGAGAACAAATAGCGTATGGGCCAATCGTTGGTAATTGGCTACCATGGGACTGCATCTTCTTACGATGCTCCACTGCCATGTCGATCAGATCTTTAGGTCAAAGGCTCCGGGTATGACCTTCCAAGAAAATTATTAAATTAATTAATTATTAAATTTATTTACTTATTTAAACACATACATATTGGTACAAGGAAGCATCAGATACATATGCACCTCACAAATCTCATTCGATTTGTGTGAGGGCTGTGATACTGCTCAGGTGCCCAGACTGAAGAAGGTGGTTTTCTTAGGGGGCCACACCCGGAGCCTTTGACCTAAAGGTCTAGTACACAAGGCAGTGTAGCATCGTGAGGAGATGCAATCCCATGGTAGCCGATGACCAACAGTTGGTTCATACGCCATTCGTTCCTTCAGGATACTGGAGCCCATGTGCACCATTGGTTTGGAATCAGGGTTTTCCAACTCCGCTAGGTGGATCCTCCACATCCACCAACCCGGTTAAAGCGCTGGACATTCGCTTTTCGTCCTCTCACTTTTGTGAACAACACCGTGGCCACGAGAAGGAAGTGAGTAGGACTTCCCTTGCAGAGGCTATATATTCGCGTGACAATATGAGAGCATTTCGAGAGGGAGTGGACTCTCCCCACTCTCGGCCGTACCAGGGCATTTGGGGGCAAGTAGATAAATAGAAAGTGATTGCTTAAGAGTGATATCTCTGGATGTAGAACACGATCACAATTAAAATTTATTGAGTGCCTATGAAGCTTACCACATATCTTTGAAATAAAGCTTTAGTTGGGTATAAGCATTGAACAAAGAAATATTCTAAGTAAACTAAGCGTTGATGTTGTTTAAAACAATGATGAATATTCAGAGAACAGGACCAAGAGCATCCACCTGACCTAAAGTTGTTTTTCCTCAGCCATAAAATACAAAAACTAAATCAACGTGAATGATTAAAACCACGTGCTAAACATCGTAAACCCCACAAGATAGAATGTCAGTTTAAGTAAACACACGTTGTGACGACCCAAATAGTCGAACAGCAAAACATGTTAAAATTGGCAAGGGCATGAATAATGGTAGAAAATAAACTGACGTAATGGGATTTCTATACATCGAGGAGTCAATGGTTTCTCTACGCCACCATAAATTTTCAGCTATTAACGTAATTGTCAATTATCTTTATGACTGATTTTGCCGGATACTACTGGAACCACTAACTGCCTCAGATGGAACTTTTGAGTAGGTTTACTCAGTTGGTATTATCAAATTGTGTATCTGGCGTAGTTGTATGACTGGAGTAAATAGAGGTGTATCTGGTTTTCCGACTAACTAGACTTGTTTAGGTTGCTTTAGAACCAATGAACCCCAAAATATTAATTTTTTATGTATAACAAAACTTTAATAAAATAATTACCATTTCTTGATCTTCAGCAAGGGTTAGATCGTATTCACTCATAGCAACCACAAATATTATTGCGGTGACGCCTTCGAAACAATGAATCCATTTCTTTCGTTCTGAACGCTGTCCTCCAACATCAAACATCCTAGGGTAATAATTAAAATAGCTATTTTCCTTGCCTGATGCTTAATCCCTTAAAAGAGAAGTGGGTTTCTACAATTCCACCCGTTCTGACTCTAGTCCGAAGGACATCCTGTTGTGTTGGAATATAACCAGGACTTGACAACCTATCCAACGAGTCAAGGAAGCTGAAATACAATTTAGACCCAGAAATTATCTCACTATGATGCAGAATCATTCAGTTGAAATTCTCGAGACCTATTAACAGCTGTTTGAACACCTGGGTCATACCAAAGCCTCTTCAGTGCACCAAATACTTCCTCAGGTAGCACGTCAACATCTGTCCGTGAAAGATTGAGGACCACAGCAATATCATTCTGGATTCAAGTAATTTACAACATGTAAAAATACCATTGCATTCGGATATGCACAGCATATCTGCAGTTGTTCCATAGCTCTCAGTATGGCTACCATGCTCTGGATAGTGTTGCTGAATACGACTGGCTTGTAGGTTTTGCATTCTTCTTCGGTATATCCAGACATATGAATAATTCTGCAAATAAATATTACAGTAACATACTTCATTTGTTTAACTATTGTGCTTTTCCCCGACTCTCCAGCACCCAGGAGCAACAATTTGGCCTCTTTGAATGAAGCCTCACCATCAGCCTTTAGTTTCCTGTCAATGTCTTTGGATCGAGCTATTGCAGCTAGTTTTTCTTTACTCACAAAACATCCCATATCTACAACTTTCGAAACAAGAGCCGAAAGGATTTAGTATCAAATTACCGCCGTAAAGTGAATGAAACTTGGCTCACACAAAATATGCAGTACATTTGCACAGGGCTTCGTGCCATCTTAAACATGACCCATACCAAGCAAACAAATGTTATTCTATATGAAAAATCAAAGTAAACCATAAATGTATTACAAGTACAGCACAATCAAATAAGATAAAACTTCAAACGTTACTAATCGGAAATGCAGGACTGATTGTCTCCATAATCTGATTCTGAATGGTAAGAGAGCGTTCTCGGCTACGGTGATGTATGATACCTGTTTTATTTCAAAATAACTTATAGAGCGAGAAATTCAGAATACGAGTAACCTCTCAGTAACACATGGAGTATCTTTGTCTGTACCTAGGAAACTGCTTAGGAATGATCTTACAAGAGGTCACACAACATACTCTTTTGTTAATGAATTTTGCACCTTGCATACCACAAACCTGACTAATTGTCAGATTCAGTTTTGTATAATAAGGTCTGACGACCTTTTCTTACTATGCTACTGTGATTGTATAACCTTCTACTGAGTGAGTCAATTGAAGGTAAAGATGTAACTCCTGTAGGTAAAAAATTCGAAGAATTGATGACTCGGTGAGAAAATTTGTATGCCATGGGTATTTTGTACGCTCTTGGCTTTTATACTCTCCTCATATGTCCTCTGACATGTCCCTATATAGTGGGAAGAAAAAGAGAAGATATATTAGATCCGAAATCATTTCCTAGTATTCCATGCATTAAAGTCAGATCACCTGTCAATCTGCGATAGGACAGAGTAAAGAACCCTATCTTTTCAAGCCGCTATTTGTATGGTAGACCCACGAGTTTTGGAATTGCACAGGTAGTTGTCCTCTGTACTATTTCCAGGATATCTGAGTCACTTTTTGAACAGAGACTTACAGCTTAAATGCCGTTTACAAGCTTAGTTACCACTACGAATATGTATATTGTAGGGAACGTGGTAGTATGTAAGTATATGTAAGAATGTGTGAGTCTGCCTGAAAAGCTCATGCATCTGAGTCACCTGTTATTTTTCATCAGATGTTTACACTGTAGTGACCGGCCAGTCTCGATAAGAACACGATTGGAATAACGGAAACAATTATTATTATTGTAACCAATTGTACCAGAGATTGTTTTACTGTGTTTGTTTAACTGTATCAGTTTCACTTCTTCTTCCGCAATCCGCCTTGTTTGGTTCGAGCTTGCTCACGCACTGCTTATTCGCTTGTACTCTTTGGCACGTCTCGGTATTATTTCGATACCACGAGATCGCCAATAAATATACTTGATCTGGACTAGTAAAGCTTTCTGATTTACGGGCTATCAAGGGAACCAAGTCATATTTGTACGCGTAATCGAATAGTAGTGGTGATCATAGTCCGTCCACGACTCGACGTAATTTCATCTTATTCACCGACCATAAGCCCTTGACGTATGCTCACCATGAGAGTGCAGACATTTAGACTATATCTCCCAGTTCACGACAGACCTTCGTCACGTCAAAGGCGAGTCGAACTGTGTTGCTGATGCTTTATCACGTATCCAACTTAATGCAGTTACTTTGCCAGTGCTTGACCTACCTGCTATGGCCGCCGCCCAAGCAAACGATACTTCATGCACGGAAGCACAACAGTCTACGTCCCTTCAGTGTCGGGAAGTACCCCTAGCTACTAGCTCAGGTACTATCCTATGTGATACTTCTACGGGCCTCCCTCGACCCATCGTACCCTCCGCTTATCGCCGTCTCGTCTTTGATGCTCTTCATGGTTTATCTCATCCTGGTATCGCAGCCACCCTACGTCTCATCGCTGCACGATACGTCTGGCCGTCCATGAATAATGATGTCCGTATGTGGGTAAACCAATGCTTACAATGTCAACGATCAAAAGTGCACAGGCACGTAGCTGCCCCTATTGGCACTTTCGCTACGCCTGATGCTCGCTTCGATCACGTTCACATAGACATTGTAGGACCATTACCACCATCGCACGGGTATGATCACATACTCACGTGCATTGATCGTTTCACAAGATGGCCCGAAGCTATTCCCATCACGTCTATTACGGCGGAGACAGTTGCTCACCGCTTCGTAGAACGATGGATAGCTCTGTACGGTTGTCACGACTGACCGAGGACAACAATTTGAGTCCGCATTATTCTCCTCACTAACACGGCTGCTTGGTACGGAACGCATACGCACTACCGCCTACCATCCAGCATCAAACGGTTTAGTTGAACGGTTTCATCGCCAACTTAAAAGTGCTCTTCGAGCACACGAAAACAACAATTGGTACGAAACCCTGCCGCTCGTCCTCCTGGTAATCAGAACGAGTCTAAAGGCAGATATTCAATGTTCCGCCGCTGAACTTGTTTACGGCACGACATTGCGTCTGCCTGGGGAATTTTTCACACCACGGAGCAGCACTAAGTTCGGCGAATCAGACTACGTCCAACGACTGTCTGCATTCATGCGAACACTGACTCCGGTGTCAACTCGTATACAACATCGACAGGTCGCTCTCCCTCGAGAGTTATCTACCTGTTCACATGTTTTCATACGAGTAGATTCGGTACGCAAACCTCTACAACAGCCTTACGAAGGACCTTTTCACGTGATTTATCGTCACGAGAAGACCTTCAAGGTTGATCGACGTGGCCGCATCGAAACAGTCAGCATTGATCGTCTCAAGCCAGCACACGTCGATGACAGTGCTATACCTGATAAGCCGAGACCCAATGTTAGACCCATCAGAGCTTCTAGCGGGATTTCTACATCTACTTCGGATCCCACGCTAGATGCACCTGAGACCTCATTCTCACGTCCCAGTCAACAGTACGTGTCATCTGCCCCGTCTACGGACGAGACTTCCGTCTCACGTCCAGACCTGCAGACCACACCGCCCTTGACTGCGGATAAGATTGCAGGCTCACGAGGTTCGAACGAGACTACCGTCTCACGTTCTGGTCGCCGAGTACGCTTACCCGTACGCTTTCGCGACTAACCTCATAACCAGCGGAGGATACAGTATAGGACCCTAACCCTATACCATACGAATGCTACACTCTTCTCTTTTTCTCTCATTTTTTTTGTGTTTACCCCGAGCCTACGCCTCCGACCATCGCTGTTACGGTATCGTCGACTTCAGTCAACTTTCGCGAAAGCTGGCCTGATCACCCACGCTCTAGTCAACGCACTCAGTCGATCTCTCTGGCTCCAAATACGTATGGTATACATTTGGTCCCGAACATGGTTATCCTGGTCGCATCTGGTTCCTTGGCTCAATCTGGTTTCGTCCTACGTCTGCAGCGTTTCTGGTCCGGACCTCTACGAACGCAACCTTCAGATTCTGGATACAAACCACTCTGGTGTAGCATGCTAATCCAAGCAATCAATACAGTACGTTCCTTCTGGTACCGTTCTACGTCAAAGACTTTTGGTGGCAACTCGAGGATCAACGATCACTTCCTGTTCTGCCAACGCCTTCGTCCTACAATTGCACGTTTCGCGATCAGTCCCACAAACGAAACCGCTACGTATCGAAAGTGTAAACCCTTTCTAGCGGGGGGCTCCTGTAGTGACCGGCCAGTCTCGATAAGAACACGATTGGAATAACGGAAACAATTATTATTATTGTAACCAATTGTACCAGAGATTGTTTTACTGTGTTTGTTTAACTGTATCAGTTTCACTTCTTCTTCCGCAATCCGCCTTGTTTGGTTCGAGCTTGCTCACGCACTGCTTATTCGCTTGTACTCTTTGGCACGTCTCGGTATTATTTCGATACCACGAGATCGCCAATAAATATACTTGATCTGGACTAGTAAAGCTTTCTGATTTACGGGCTATCAAGGGAACCAAGTCATATTTGTACGCGTAATCGAATAGTAGTGGTGATCATAGTCCGTCCACGACTCGACATCCACTACAACACTATTAGCGTATAGTAACATTAGAGGCTCAACTTTACTTGAGAGTTAATTTACATACCGTATGAAATGTAAAGGACCTAAGAAAGTCTTACAGTACTCCATTAAGTGCTGATCTCTAGGTGCAGCACTCGGAATTTATTCTCACCTTCTATTTATGACCTACCAGAAAATCCTTAAATCATTTTAGGAGAGGTACGGCAATGCCTAGATTTCCCAGTATCAAGAGCAGTCTATTTGTTGTCACCTTATCAAACACTGAAACCTATGTAGGCATCCACTGATTTTCCATTGTCTAGGGCCTGTATCCATTCTTGCTTTAAAGAGATTTGCTGTGCAAGATAAACCTTTTCTGAAACCATGTTGTTCGCTATTCATTGGTTTTCACGAAAATTATTATGGTTGTTTTGACTATTCTTTCCAGTATTTTAACTACAACACTGGTCAGGCTGATAATTCTATTGTTCAATGGAAATTTTCTTCATCCTGTTTTGTGTATTGGATTGACGATTGCATCCTTCCAGTCCGTAGGTAACACTCCTTGGCCAAGTTACATATTGAATATCACAGTCAATGGACCAGCAATATATTGTGCAATTTGTCTCAAAATTTTGGAGTGTAGTTCATTCGGTCCTGTTGAATTTCCCGTGTCTTAAGTGTTAAGAGGGCGAGACTGCAACTTGCTGACGAGCCAATCAGAAGCTTTCAGGGGATTTCAAGGTCGTTGCTTCAATTTCAGTATCTGATTCTCGTTTACAATGGCATGGTCGAAAAGTCATGTCATTGATTCTCGCTCATATGTTACATGTTGTCGCAGATTTTTAATGTTTTTTTTATCGGCTAATCACAGCATTCTTCCGTCACATATTAATTTTTGTAATATTTATGCGTGCTACATGACGTTTATCGCAGTCTATTGGTTGCCTGATCTATTTGGAGCTGACAACCTGGATGAATGTTTAGGCAGCCTGATTTGGTAATTTGCAACAATTCAAACTCAGGCAAGTGAAATTCATCATTTATCAGTTCAAAAATAGACCGAAATTATAGTTTCAAGCAAAAAGAAGCTGTGAAATAATTTACATGACTAACCTCCTTTATTATGGTAGTGATGAACATGGTTGTTGATAGTTGTTTATAAATTGTAATTGAAGCAATTGAGAGTCAAGCTATTCATGAATCCTGTAATGGTAATAATAAGCATTCCATGCGACGTTTCTAATGCGAGTTTGTT